GTATTTGGATCGAACCCCTGACCTTGGGGACAAAAAGGAGATAAGAAGGGCACTTAGTCACCAATGCACCAAACCAATCACTTGAGCATGGGTGGCCACAAATATATTTAACCACATAATTGAAAAAATTAGTATTTTATATATAGCCTAGGGAGGGGAGCATGGGTGCATGTACCCTACCCCCCTCCATGTAAATCCGTCTTTGTACTTCATTTAGACATCTTGAATAATGTTATCTGGTAGTAGCTGTTTCCATTTACCTATTTTTTTTCTTTGCATTTATGAAGTGTTATTTTGTGCTACACTTTAAATGGCAGAAAGGACTCATTATTTCATATTATGATACTGTATCTCATACTTTCTTGTCTGGTCAATTTTTCTCATCGTAATTATATTATCTTTCTTCTTTTTTATTTTTTTTAATTAAATGTTCAACATTTATGATAAATGCTTAGGTTGAGTGGGACGAGATAAATGCAGCATGGGGCCAAGCTTGCCTTCTTCTCCATACAATGGCTCAACATTTCCGGCCAAAGTTTCAGTATCCTTATTGGAATATACATCTATCTATTTGTTAAAAATATAATCCTTTTCTCGGTCATTTCCTTGATTGATTGAATCCAGAACTTTATTAATCTTTTACTGCCTAGTTTGCTTGTCAGGATGCAACTCTCAGCCTAAGAACTGTTGGTGCTTATGCATTATGAATCTTAAATTGTTTTTGATAGATCTTGATTAGGTCCGATCCAAGGTGCATAAAGTTCTTGCTGAGTCTTTTGACCTTGCCGCTCAAATTAGCATATGGTCCTTCAGTCCTTGTGGAATTTTTGAATAACCTGTGTATTTTTAATCCAGTCTAACTTTTCTTATTCAAGCCTTCATTAGATTATTTTTACCCAATCACCAAGTTGCCATGTTTGTTCAAGTAGACTTGATCTGACTAGAGTTAATGTTCAGCTCCGGATAAACAATACTAAGTAGGACAGCATATAAACTTTTGGAAGCTAGACACCAAATATATTGCATTTTTTCCCCGTAAAGCATAGTGTTCTTGTTGTTATCTGTCCGATGTATATCCTTGATTTTCCCTTTCCAGATATCGGATAAAAATTCTTCCTATGGGAAGTTATCCTCGGATCATGGACACCAATAACAATACTTATGAACTGTAAGTCTATTCTTTTTTTTCCCAAACATTTTTTCCCAAAGATATTTATTACCAGTATGTCAATTTGGTACAAATAAGTTGATTTCAATTTGATACAAATAAGTTGATTTCAGGTGGGTGATGATGCAATGATAATTATATTCAGTAAATGTAGGAGGGGTAGTTTGTTTAATATTGACGTGGTTTCATTGTAATACATTGAGCTTTCGACTTGATAATAGTGAATGAAATGTACAAACTCCAAAATCACTTTTTGGAGGCCAGTTCTTTTGAATCTTCCCTTCCAGTTATCTTAATACCTAGGCAGTAGCAGCTTATAAAAGAAAAAATATTTTTTTTTTTGATAAGATAAAAGAAAGAATAGCTGAATTATTAAGTACAGAGGATCGAACACGAAACCTTCATGACATAAAGTTTCATCTCAACCCGCTGCACTAGAAAGGCGTCTTAAAGAACTTTGGGATTAACAGACACTGTTTTTGGTTTTCCAATAGCAAACTTTAACCTTTTAGAAGTAGCTAATGTGATCCCAGTAACTAATGTGATCCCTCTTACTCTTTTGAAGATTTGGCCCGGTAAATCTCTTCTGGAGCACACGATATGACAAAGCAATGACATTGTTCTTGACCTGCCTAAAGGAGTTCGCCGACTTTGCAAATTCAAAAGATAGGGAGAACAATATTCGTCCTGACAAATGTTTTAAGCTTCCGTACAAGTAAGCCTCTGCATATTCAAGAAGTGTGATTCCATAGAAGCTTCAATCTTTTAGCAAAATGTTCTATAGTAAATCTCAGATTTACATTTCTCAGATACATTGGTATTGTGTAATTGGTAGTCAGGATTTCTGCAAAGAAGAGTTTGGTCGATTTTGTTTTTATGATAAGGTTGCCTGCTTATTTCCTCCATTTTATCCCTGAAAGAAGGAGCTTGAAGTTCGAGCAATGACATCAATTTGGATCAGTGGAAATAATTACATAAGTTTTTTTGCTTTTCCCTTTTCTTTTTTAGGTTGAGAATGTAAAGAGGTGAGTGACTTGGCGTGGTCATTCATATGAGTTTGTAATATGTCTTAGACAACTGCGTGCACCAATGGGACTTAAACTAAGGGAGAGTTGGACAAATTCCAACATGGAAGGAGCTAAACCTGATGCTTTTGCGAAGTACTTTTATGAGTCTGCTGTTATTTTGTAATTTGTATTACACCAATTTATCTTGATCTTCGAACTGCTGCTTTGAAGTGAATGTTGAGCTTTTTATATGACATATGTTAGGATGTACATATTGGAAGCCACAATTGGACCATAGGTTACTCGACTCGATGTTAGACATAGAATTGGCGTTCTCCAACAAAGTTCTGGTCTGATGCATTTCAACCAGAGTACTGTAACTGTTGCTTAATTATCTATGGCTTTCTTGCAGGATTGACAATGACAAAGTTGAAAGTTACTCCATTACTCAGAGCTTCAATAAGCAGGAAAATTGGACCAAAGCTCTCAAGTACACACTCTGCAATTTGAAGTGGGTGCTCTACTGGTTTGTTGGAAATACAAATTTCCAGCCACTTTCTGCAACCGTCTCTTCACAAGCTGAAGTTCCAGCTGCAGGATCACTATACAGCAAACAACCAACTAATCCCAAGTTTCAATCTTGAAATCACTAATACCAACTTCTCCTGTTGTGCTTAGCATGTTGTAAATAGACAAGAATGTCGAAATCTGTCAGTGCAAAGCAATCACTTGTAATGTTGCATCATATTATTTCTTGACTCGTTAAAAAAGGTTGAAGTTGTATATTCCAATATGGATCACATTTAATAGTGCTTCTTGTTTTATTTTCTCTAATATCATGTCTGATGGTTTCTGTTTGATGGTACTAATATATTGTACCTTCCTTTCTCTTCTCGTCTTTTTCGTCTTCTTGAGCCGAGGGTCTTTCGGAAACAACCTCTCTACTCCTTCGGGGTAGGGGTAAGGTTTGCGTACACACTATCCTCCCCAGACCCTACTTGTGGAATTGTATTGGGTCGTCGTTGTTGTTGTTGTTTTAATCTCATGTCAAATTCTATCAGTGCAACGCAATCACTTGTAATGTTGCATCATATTATTTTCTTGACTCGATAAAATTTTTTGAAGCTGTATATTCCAATATAGGTCACATTAAATCGTGCTTGTGATTTTCTCTAAATCTCTAGTAGCAGGCTTTTGCCAGAAGGTTTATCCAAAACAGTCTCTCTACCTCCCCAAGATAGGGTAAGGTCTACATTTATATTACTCTCTTCAGACCTCACACTGTAGATATTCTTATTTCACATTTTATTTCGCAGAATGATGCATAGATTCTCATATAAGTTTCACTGGTGTTACGAATAAGACGTCTGGTTTCTGATAGTAAATTATGCATAAGTTATGTGGAGTTTGATACCAAAAACCAAAATAAAGTACTACATTAGTTATGCAAAGATTATTTTAGTAATACGAGGTATGATGCCCGCAGAGGCGGATCCAAGATTTCAAAAGGATGTGTGCACTATTATGAAAAGGTGGATCTAAAATTTAAATTTAACAGGTTTAACTATAGTTTCTTACTATGAACCCGCTACACTTATAGGTTCAAAATTATATTCTTTTTAAAATTTTAGTAATTTTGACTTATATATCTATACTTTGTACCGAAAATAAGACCGTCCAAAATAGGATTTTAAACCCAATTTTACTTGTAGAGGTGCACCTAATAATTATTGCATCATAGGAGTCTTTGAGCATGGTGCACACACATATATTTAAATAATTTTGAAGAAATATAATATTATTATACATAATTTACGGAGAGAAGTATGGATTCACGTGAACCCATATGGCTAAGCCTAGATACGCCCTGAAAATCAAATAGTAGTATTGTGTTAGTTCGAAGTTTTATAATGAAATTGGATTTCCTTGATCTCTCAAATCAAACAACCCTTAATTAGTGTGTCCAACTCATTTCATTATTTTAAGACTTAGATGGAAACTAACAACCATTGCACGCGTTATCCCTCATCCCCTCCATTCTTTTTAATTATTTATATCACTGTATTATAAGTCTTGGTCTCTTTTTTTTTTTTAAATTAAAATTTTATCTCATTTGATGCCCCCAGTTTATTCGGATCAGGAAGTACTCATATGCCCCTTTCCCCGAGCTTTACAGCTAGTTTGGATGGTTGTTACCGGTTGTATTGTATCGTATTGTTACTTTAAATACAATGTTTGTTTTGAATGTAACTTAAATTTTATTGTATCGTATCATGAAATTTGTCGTTACGTAACAACGAAAAGTACCACTTTATGGAACGATCGATTTGGTGTGGTGGCGTCGTTTCTTTATTTTTTTCTCATCTTGCCCTTTTTTATTATTAAAATAGTCCTAATTTATCTTTTACCCTACCTTTTTATATACTAATATTACCTTGTACCTTATTTTTTCTTTATAATATTGCAAGTTTATTCTTCATATTGTTGGTGCATCACATCATAAAATGTTAATAAACAATATAATCTATCCAAACATTATATACATCAAAGCGATACAGTACAATACAATACAATACAATACGATACATTATGAACGATAGATAACAACCATTCAAACAAGCTGGTAAAAAATGTATGCGTGACACATTCCAGCCTTGATAACACCATTGAGAATTCCAGCATTTGTAAACAACAACAACAACAACAACAACAACAACAACAACTCAGTGAAATCCCACAAGTAAGGGGTCTGGGGATGGTAGTGTGTACGTAGACCTTACCCCTACCCCGATAAAGTAGAGAGGTTGTTTCCGATAGACCCTCGGCTCAAGAAAACGAAAAAGACAATATATCAGTATCATCAACAGAAACCAACCATCGAAATAATAACAGCAATATAAGAACCAGAAAATAGTTAAAACGCAATAACAATAACCATTAAATAAGGTGTTGGAATCTCAGTTGCTCTCATATTCTGGTGTGATTTCCGGTTAAAAGCCTTTTCTGGAAGCATTATGTTGAGTCACTCCAAGAGTAGAATCAGCAGCTCATCTCACGTTTTAGGATGATCCCGAGAATCAATCCCAATCGAATCTATGCAGCTACTTGTTTCATGGGTCGTGATCCCGCGAGAGTGAGCTAACTCCAAAAAACCCGTCCACAGTTCGGATTTCAGGCTGCAACTCGCCTGCATGAAGCCTGAATTTTGGATTTTGCGACTGAAAATCAAACCGAAGTCAATTCATTCAACAATGCCCCCTCGGGACATTATGTATTGGATTTTGCCAACACCCTTTTCTGTCTTGCATTTCACCATGGCACTTCTATCTTTCTTTCTATTTCAAAGCTTGTGCTTTGGTTTAGATCACTGCTCCTTGTCAAAGCTTAGTTATCCGTGAATGAGAACTCGTTTTGCTTGTTGGTGGTAGGAATTTCTCGAACGAACTGCACTCTTTCGTATACGTCAGGAGTCCATTGATGAGAAGGGGCTGGGGATGGTTTATGATTGAATCTCAGAGGCATTCTTATCATTTGGTAGATCCAAGTCCATAGCCTATTTCGTTTCTGTCCAATCGCTACATAGACACAATACAATGTCTCACTCTCAGAGGTGGCCCTCCCAGGCAGGAGAAGGGCTTATACTGCTCGCATGCTGTCGAGTTGTGACGAAGGGGGGACGGGGAAAGCTACAGGCCCAAAACCTTCGACCCTTCTTTCTAAATGGAGGTGCCCGAGTGAACGACACACTTTAATCATCTATGATGATCCCTCCAAACAAGCACAAGCTTATCGCTTGGAAGCTCGAAACGAGCGGTCAAAGGAATTGATCCGTTTAGTTCTGTTCTTCTCCTAGTTTTATAGCACACCCATGTTGAGGTCCGTCAAGTCCTCTAGCCTAGAGTAGTCAAAATTTCCTCTGATATTGAGTCTTCGAGAGCCAGACTGGAAATGATAATCCCTACGGAAAGATAGTTGGCTGCCATCTTAGACACCGTCTTATTGGCCCATGGAAATTATCGAAACCGCGTTCCGGGAGAATCTAGTCATTTAGTCGGTCCATAACTATCTCTGAGAAAGCTCCGGAGATTCTATGGGAAATCGAAAACGTCGAAGTAAGTTGTGACTTATAAATAGGAAGATAAGGAGATAAGGGGCGAAGGATATTCATGATATTCGGAAAGATTTATGTTCATTTGCTCTGCTAGCAGAGCGGTAATAGGAACAAGAGCCAGATCGAAGACATTCCTTTCATTCTTTTATACCCCTCTGGAGACTGACACTATGCTTTATAGAAAGCGAAATAGTGATAAGGAGTTGCGGAAAAGTCCCCGAAAAAAGGAAGCGACTTTTCCCGGAAGAGCCCCATTTTTCACTGGGTCAAAGCCTAAAATCTGATGAATAGAAGGAAAGTAGATCAGAAAGATAGGTGAACGACTTGACTATAGTATAGGTCGGATGTTTCCGTGAGCAGTAAACAGCAGATCTCCCCTTATTTAGTACATTATACATCTGTCCGCCAGCAGCGGAGGGGGTTCGATTCCCGCATAACTTATTATGATAACATCTTCTGTGCAGTTATCAATGATATCAGGCATTGTTAGGTTGAAGGTTGGACGGATTGTTATAGTGATCCTGATTTTACGCGTATGATGCTCCTCGATACAAATTTTCTTTTGAGCTATATGGAATCCTTCACACTTTATCCAAAAGTTAAGGATTTCTTTGTAAGAAATTTTGGTTTTGTGATTATCAGCCAACAAAAGTTAGGGGCTGATGGAAAAAAATAGTACTGAGGATGAGCAGCCTATGCATCTTCTTGAAATTCTTCGGGATGTCATCATCTCCAAACCAATTCAATCAAAAACACTTGAGCAAAAGGATTTCAAGTAAGAATTTATTTTGGTAAATTATGTGCAGTTCGTGTTCTCTTTTACAACGATTTAACTGTTATGGACAGTTGCACATTATCTGTACCTTATATGGTTTTTACAGTCGAGTCCATCAATTGAAGGTGTAGCGATAAAACTTTCAGCTGTCTAATTACCTGGTTGTTGCTACTGCCTGTTTATTGCTTCATTTTCATTTCTTTTGAACTGAGGGTCTTTCGGAATCATCATCTCTACCTTTATTACGTAGGGGTAAGGTCTGCGTATACCTCACCCTCCCCAGACCCCACTTGTGGGATTTCACTGGGCTTCTTCTCGTTGTTGTTGATAAAACTTTCAACTATGCTTCCCATGCATTTTAAGAATTTCTTATAATTCAAATAGAACTAAAGCTTGAAAAGTTGAACTTGTTAGATTTCAATTCTTTGGCAATTACTAGTAGTTGGAGTATACGTTAAGAAGAGGAATCTCGACGTAACTGGTAAAGTTGCTGCCATGTGACCAAGAGGTCATTGGTTCGAGTCACGGAAATAGCCTCTTGTAGAAATACAAAGTAAGGCTGCGTATAATAGACTCTTGCGATCCGTCCTTTCCCTGGTTCCCGCACATAACAAAAACTTAGTGTACCGGGCTGCCTTTTTTGGAGTATACGTTAAGAAGGGGAGCTTTGGCGTAGCTGGTAAAGTTGTTGCCATGTGACCATGAGGTCACTGGTTCGAGCCGCGGAAACCGCCTCTTGCAGAAATATAAGGTAAGCCTGCGTAAAATAGACCCTTGTGATCCGGTCTTTTCCCGGACCCCGCGCATAGCGGGAGCTTAGTGCATTGGGATGCTCTTTTTGCAGTATACGTTAGATATAATTTGCTTGAAAACTTGAGCTTGTTGAATTTGCTAGTATTTGCATAATTCTTATCATTCCTATAGCTACTAAAGCTTGAGCACGAGTTATTTCCATTTCTCTACTTTACATGTTGGGGTTTAATTTTTTCAGAACGGAATCGAAGAGTCATATCTACCCCTTTCGATCAGTTAGAGATCTCAAACAGAAGGGCATATATCCATGGAATCAAATTCAAATCCTACAAGTTGTTTGGAAAACTCGATCTTCCAACGGAACATATGAACATCTATAGCAAGGTAATCTATGCAAACATGATAGCTTATGAGATGAGCCCAAACACGAATACTCGATATGAGGTGACATCTTATGTGAATTTTATGAAGTCACTGATAGTATGTTCAGAGGATGTCAAAGAACTACGAGAAAAAGGAGTAATCTGCAACCATTTGGGAACAGACGAAGATGCAGCCAAACTGTTCCAAGATATTACTACTTATGACGTGGTCTCTCATGGCAGTACTCTTGTTGATGTTATAAAAGATATTCAGAACCACGTTAGCAGCAAAGCTAAAACATCGATGGCAGAGTGCTACTGGACTTATTTTAGCACTCCATGGTCAATTATCGCGTTACTTATAGCTGGTGCGCTACTTTTCTTAACTATTATGCAATTATAATAGGTATCCTATGAATTAAACAGATGCAGCAATGTGTAAACACCTAATTTATGTTCCTCTTCTTTTTGTCTGGTCATTCCTAAATAAATGTTTTTGTTTCATTTTAGACCTTATTTTCTTTTGATTTGTCTTATATTTAAGGCGAAACATAGATAGATAAGCTTAAAGTTGGCATTGAAATCCAGTTAGACGTCGCCTTAACTATGCCAGTAACCAAATGGACACCTCTACTTGGCACAAGTGTGTCTCGTCGATACCCCAGGTCCAGCAGAACTCACACAAATAGACACCTTTTGACATGTTTATTCAGCTCCAAGTACTATATTCTGAGTTTGTAACTTTTGGTTGATTTGCCCAAGTAGACTTAAGAATTCAAATTTAAGTGGCTAAACTAATAAGAATTCAAAAAAACCTTAGTTCAAAACAGAATTGTATGCATGCTTATATATACAAGAATCCTAATTAATCAAGGTGCATAGCATATGTACTGCTCAAGGAGCTATAAGGGCAGCCTGGTGCACTAAGCTCCCGCGCATCCTTTCACCAGGTACTACTCAAGGAGTTGCTTTACAAAGAAAAAAAGAAAAAAGAAAAGAGAAAAACTCGATTGACGTGTCATGGATACATCTCCCAGCATTTCTAGTATATTAGCTCCCCAACTCATGAATGATTTTCCTCACTGAAATTTGGTTCAGCTGGTTTCTGAAGCAGTAGAGGTAATGTTGGAGATAATTTAGCCCCAGTTGTATGGTTGCGTCGTAAGGCTCGTAGTGCATTAGCAGCAAATCTTGATGCATAAATGGTAGCTCCAAGACTTGGTGCATTTGTGCTCTCTTTTGCTAACGCAGCCTGCAATCTATCTTCTTCCTCTCTTAAAGATTTCTCAAGCTTGTTCCTACAATGTCGACGCCATGCTACTTGTATAAAGCATGCACCCCATGTCCTCCATTGCTGTGAGTAAAACCTGAAATAATCAAGTACACAAGTGTTAATGGCTTCCTCCAAAACTTATACTCCAGTAACTTATGTCTGGTTAATTTCACAGGTGATCACTCAACTTTCAACTTAGCGTTTCAAAGTCATAAAATTTGACTTTTGTAATAGAACAATAGCTCAACTGTTGTTATATGTTATAGAAGATAAAATGTGTACCAAAAGAAATGCTATATTTAGTCGTGAGAAACTCAAGTAGGCTTATAGTCATGTCAACAACTCATGTTACATACTATCTACGTAGTACCAGTTAAAAAAAAACTCATTTTTCTGATCCAACCTAATATATATTATGTCTTTCGTTATGTGGCATATTGTGGTTTTTATTTTTTTGTTTTTTAGTTGGTCAGAAAACAAGCTATTATTTTGTTAAGTGGCACCACATGGATGTTATGTAAGTAAGTTGTTGATGTGACAACTTGTGTTTCATCCAGATTTAGCATTTTCTAGCCTTTTTCCTTAATTTTCCATCAGATATAGGCATAATTGAGTTATTTCTTACAAAAATTATTTTAATGACTTTGGTACAATAAGCTTAAAGTTAGATGACCAAATATGAATTAACCACCAAAACTTATACCAGTAACTTATGCATCATGCTTTTGAAGCATGTTTATTTGCTGGTGTTGTTGCTTGCTGTTACTTTTTTCTGTCTATCTTTTTTGAACCGAGGGTCTTCAGGAAACAACCCCTCTACCTTCTTCGGGTAGAGGTAAGGTTTGCGTATATTTTACCCTCCCCAGACCTCACTAGTGGGATTACATTGGGTTTTTGTTGTTGTTGTTGTCGTTGTTGTATTAAGCAAACAAAGCAGGATTGAAGCATGTTATGAAATGGAACAAGGCTAAAACAACATACCTGAAACTATGTTGAAGCTGTTTGCTATGAAGGCGTCGAAACTGTGAGGCAACAAACTTGAGATCATCAGCAGTGAGGGCAAAAGCTTCTATATCAGTTTCAGCTTGAACTGTTCTTGTTGAAATAGGAAGACTAGAGGAAGTATGAGGGTCTAAAGCCCAAGTAAGAAGCTCCTCTCCACAGAAATCACCAGCTTTTAGTGATACAGAGTTGAAAAAACCAGTTCTTCCACCATTTGTTGTCATAGTTAATAGAGTACCTCTCATTAGAAAGAGCATTTCATCTACTGGATCGCCTTCTCGGATTATGAAACTCTTCTCTGTGTAGAGTGCTGGTTTAAGTCGATCACACATTGCATCTAGTAACTGTTCATCCATTTTATCGAATATTGGAACCTGCATTACCAAATCAATGCAAAAATAAGAGGAAACACAAAGAACAAACTTCTTGTTTTTATATATTACAAGACTTGTTGTGGTCGAAGGGGAGCCTTAGAACACGGGTGACTATGAGTCATGAGTTCGAGTTGTGGAAGCAGCCACTAATGCTTGCATTAGAGTATGCTGTCTATATCACACCCCTTAGGGTGTGGCCCTTCCCTGGACCCTATGTGAACGCGGGATGCCTTGTGCACCAGGCTACCTTTTAAGACTTACTGTGCTCGAAGGGGAGCCTTGGAGGAGCGGTAAAGTTGTCTCCGTGTGACCTATAGGTCAGGGGTTCGAGTTGTGGAAGCAACCACTAATGCTTGCATTAGGGTAGACTATCTACATCACACTCCTTGGGGTGCAGCCCTTCCCTGGACCCTGCGTAAACACGGGATGCCTTGTGCACCGGGCTATCCTTTAAGACTTGTTGTGGTTCCCTACTAGTTTGAGCTTGATGTATAGTTAATTGATTGATTGAAAATACTTAGTGTGCTTCAATAAGATTTCATTCAGATTTAATACTCTCACCGTTCCATTTTATGCCACTATTTTCTTTTTTAGTCTGTTCCAGAAGAAGGACAAGACATTTCTATGTTCAGAACTCTTTAACTTGAAACTTTCCATTTTACCTTAATGACACACTCTTACGGGTATAGAAATGTCATGGCATATTTAAGGCTACAAATTCTAAGGGTACTTATGATATGTACCAATAGTATGTTATTTTCTTGTTAAAAACAACAGAAATAGCTATTAAAATCCAGTAAAGTTGGACAGGAAAAATTATAAATGTAGCTATATACTTACTCTTTTGACCAAAGACCAACAGAGATGGCGCTTTAAATCTCTTCTCAAATCTCTAGGAAGATTATGAATAAGTAAATCTTCTTCAACACCTCTGGTTTCTTGCCATTTGTATTGTTCATGTCGTCTAATACGCCCTCTCAGATTATCAGGAAGCATCCGATGAGACATCCATTGCTCTGCGTCCCGCCTTCTCACTCTCATCTCTTCTACTCTAACTGTGATAGATTGCAAATATTTCTGTATCAAACAACAAACACGAATAAATCACTTGAACTTAGTTCTAAAATGTCAAAGTTGTCATCTTTAAGAGGTCTCAGTTTTATCTAGTTTGAGGAATGGCACTAGGGAATAAAGCTGTGTGACATATTTCACAACATTTTGTGGCGACTAAATTATTCGCCACAAAAAGTTGTTAGTGAAAAGGTGAATACATAAATAGATTTTTCATAGGTCGCTTTTTCGGAAGGCGACATATATCACAACATTTAGTGGCGACTAGTTTGGTCGCCACATAAGGGGCAAGTGCATAGATAGTCATTCTTAGGGATGCTATTTAGAGATTAGCCAGTATTTATTTTGTCCCGAAATTTTAAACTAAAAATCTTAACTTCAGGGCAATTCAGAACAAAAATGTCCTGAAAAACTGAAATAACAGCCCTCTAGAGTGGCTACATGATGTCATTTCTATGCGACAGAAAGTCGTCTAATAAGGTGATTACATAATTTTTCGTAGGTCAAAAGCACATATTTGTGGCCACTAAATTCATAGGTCGCTGCTTAGATAAGCGACATATATTACAACATTTAGTGGAGGCTAGATTAGTCGCCACAAAAAGTCGCCACTGAAAATCTTATTTCATGTGGTGTGGGAATTTGAAAATAAGAGTAGTTGAAGGCAGATTTTTTGTAAATGAAAATGTATAACAAAATAAATGGTCATATGCAATTCAAAAATTCAATCTAAACAGATTCACTTGTTCAATATTGTTTGATAAAGGGTAAGTGTTGCTCACCTGCATATTGCCAATAAGCAAGGAAAACAAGATTAGCCCAATAATTGAAATGAATACAGCAAAGAGAATCTCCCCAACAAATGTGCTTGTCTTAAGGTTTTGGCCAAGAGAACTGAAATATAAAACAAGACATTTTCTTAAATACAAGAATACTCAAAATGTCATTAACAATTGCATAAGCAAAACTAAGGCCAAATGCATATACAGTAAGACCTCTCTATAACAATATCCCTATATAACAACATTTCACTATAAAAGCCAGACTTTTTTCGGAATCAATTTTCATGTTATATTATGATATATGTTCTTTATCACAGCACTTCGCTATAACATCCAAAAATATTCGGAACAAACAAGGCTGTTATAGAGAGATTTGACTGTATATGGAAATAAGTAAAGGAAACAGACCTTAAGTTTCTCAGCCCCCACCAAAAGCAATAGAAGAGTTTGGACCAGAAATTTTGCTTTTCTACTATCCGAAACTGAAGAGCATCAAGAAATATACCAAAATCAAAGTCATTTGGATCTTTTATATCTTCTGATTTCAGGAGAGGGCAAGAAGAATTTAGAAGCAAAGCGTTTCCGTTTCTGTTTCCTCCACAGTATAAGTAGTCTGAAGAACATGAGTCAATCTTCTTACATGCGTCGCGCCAACATGTATCTTGGCGTTCTACTGAGATCAAATACCAGAAGGCTCCGACTACCTGAGATAACAGAATTGCACCTATTAAAACGAACTTTTGTTCAAGAATGAAATCTTATTTCAACTGTCCATATCCAGTTCATCTTTCAGAACCATATCACATTCGCGTTCTGATGAAATATAACTTATATACGTTGACAATGTAGCTAATATTTATACTATCGGTGTAACTTAACGTGTTGTACAGTTAGCCCTTTTTATAAAAGCAGCCCTATATAACAACCATTCACTATAAAAGCCAAGTTTTTCTCGGAACAGATTATTATGTTATGTTATAGAGTATGTCGTCTATAACAACACTTCA